AATAATAAAAAAGAAAACAAATCCATCGATAGAATGGTAAACGGGAAGCCATTGCATTATTCTGCCTTGAATGTCACCTTGAAAGTTAATTGTGAGACGGAGGGGAGTGGTGACAAGAGAGGCGATGCAAAATACGCTAAGTGAATAAAATGAATGAATGAACGTCAATGTATTTCAAACAGATGCGACATCGCAAGCCTGTAGCTAGTTCTACAAGTTCATAACTTTAGAGATAAGACCCTTGATAAGTACACTTGGGACAACTCATCTAAACTCTTTTCGAATATTTCCATGGAAAATATTCTAACGAGCTACATTCTTTAGTTATACTTTGACCGTAATTCTGACCAGTTTTTCTTCAGCTGAAGGTTGGGTCCAAACCACACTCCAAGAATGCGGACAGCACCGTCCGTCCAACCAAAGGGCCCCGGAAGATCGACCCCCTTTCCAGGCACCTAACCGCAAGCCGGACGATTGTCGTGGTCAATCCTGGCTCCTGTCACCTTTTCGTACCGATGAAGCGCCTTCAGTACCACCTCAATGTCGCTGCGGGACAACACGATAGTAGATACATCATCGGCGTACGCGGTTACCCAGGTCTCGAGCCCCTCCAGGGACGTCGATTCCGCGTATTGCCGGATTGCACGCCCTGTCACTCAGCCGGCGAAGGAGAGGCTCCAACGTCAAAGCATAAAGTAGGGTCGACAGTGGACAACCCTGATGAACCGACGTAGACAGTGCAAAAGCGCCCGACAGCTTCCCGTTCACCTGTACCACAGCACTGGGGGAGCGAATCCAGCGACAGAAGTCGGGTTCGAATCCCTCGGCCTGCAGGACAGGAGCAAGGTAGCGATGGTCAACCCTATCAAATACCTTGGACTGATCTAAATTGATCAGCGAGGCCTCATCGTCTTCTTTTACATCCTTTATGATAGTGTGGATCAGATGCAGGTTGCTCTGAATTGTTCGGCTCTTCACAGCGCAAGTCTGCTCAGGACCCAACAGAGACTCGGCAACTGACTGCAAACACTCCTGCAGGATCTTGGCCAAAATCTTTAACTCTGTGTTTAGAAGAGTTATGGGTCTGTAATCATCTAATTTCAGCACAACACCCTTGCCCCTTTTCAACAGAGTGATCACACCCCTGGTGAACCGGTCGGGGACGGCCTCCCTGCCCAAACCAGTTGTTGAACACAGCCGTTAAAATCGGGACAAATATATAGCCACAAGTACAATTCATAGGGAAAAGCATCCAGACCGGGCGACTTGTCTCTGCTGACCTTCTTCAATGCCACGTAGACTTCGCCCTCCCTAATCTCTCCCTCGCAGCTAACCGCTTCAGTCGGCGGAAGCCGAGGAAAGTCAGCCAAATAGCTGCGAAACTCTTCATCACGGAGACCAGGCTCCTTGGTAAACTGGCTCTCGAAATGCCGCCGAAACGCCTCGCACATGTCGTCAGTCGCCCGAAGAGTATGATACTCAGGAGTTTTGAGTTCACGAATGTGCCAAACGGAACCTGGACGGATCTCTTCCTTGCGCAATTTTGCGCTCATGTTCACCGCTTCGGAAGACATCTTGTTTGACCTATGTCTAATTACCTGGCCCATGTAGCGCTCGCTAGTCAAACGCTTCAGGGCCACCTTAGCTAAGGCTATCACTATGGGATCCCTTCCCCAGCATCCACCCGGGAAAAAATAGCCTTAAGCGTCGTCATCTTGTCAGCTCTACCAAGTGCGAGCCGTTTGCTGAACTCAGTGGTGAAGGACCTAATCCTATTCTTAAGTCTCTCCCACCAACTATTCCCAATAACCTCCCCATTAGCCCCTGCTGCACTAAGCTAGTTAGCTGCTCCTGGAAGTCCCGCCTGTCCAGTAAAGACAGATTGAACTTCCAGTAACCAGCCATTTTAAGCCTACAATCTAACGCCATCCGGGCACAAACGAATTTGTGGTCCGAATAGCCTACCCAGTGGAACGTTGGACAATCTAACAAGTCTACGTCGGCTCCTCTAACTAACATTCTATCCAGGTAACTAACCACCCGGGTAGAAGGCCAATTATAAGCCCACGTCCACATCTGCCCCCACTCGGGGTGATTGACCCAATGTCTATCGACGAATCCAAAGTCTTCGATCAGATCAATCAAGCTACGATCGCCCCTTCTGCCGCTAGCTCCCCGCCTCCTATCTAACTTGGGGTTCAGGATGGCATTCCAGTCCCCCATTCAAACTAGTCGCGTTGAACCCACCAGGAACGGCCCCAACTGCCGAAAAAACGAGACCCGCTCCTTCTAGTCGTTGGGCGCATAAAACGTAACAAGTCGGAACGGACAACTTTTCACGGCAATATCAGCCACGATCAACCAGCCCTCGGCATCAACATGAACAAGGTCCACCTTCGCATCCAGGGTACGTCTAACCAGCAAAGAAACTCCTCTGGTATGTCGGTCCACATATGCTGAATAAACGACAAAGTCGCTAGACAGCACACACGCATCGACGTTGCAAACAAAGTGGGTCTCTTAGATCGAGGCGACATCCACTCAGAAAGACAAGAGATCTCGGAGCAGGTGGGCAGTCTTACCTCGATCCCTCAAGCCCTTCACATTCAGACTGGCTAACTTGATAGACATCTTTTCAGTCCTGTAAGTAGAAAAATAAGAATTAACCTACTCATATACCGGGCGGAAATCTGCGCTAGTAAGGACCCCGACGGATTGTCCTAGGATCCCCACACCTAGCTCTGACGTCATTCGTCCTTCCAGGTCGATTCCGCCGACTTCCGTGGGATAGGTTAGTTTTATATACATATATAGGGAGGGATGGAGTAAAACAGGGACCCTCCCAGCACAATATTGTCGTAGTTTCTTCAAATAAGGAAAATCAATTTCTGCCATTCTTATGTTGGTAAATGTCTCCTAGGCCACATGACTTCAAACTTTCAAGTTGGCTCCAGTGTCCCTTATACAGATAATGACACCTGGGGTATTTGGGAAGTTACGGGGATCTTCCACCGATTTTCCATCTACACTGGACATTTTATACAAAAGACCCAACCGGGCATTCTTTTGGCTGGACAGGCCTTTCTTAAATTCCACCCCCTGTCCACCCTACAAATTGATTCTGGTTCAGAAAGCAGTTTCTTCTTTTTCTTCCTTGTTGCTTTGGATGGGTGGGGAGGGGAAGCGGTTGACGAGTGAGGGGGTGCTGAAATGGAACTTAGGGAAGAGTTTGAGGGAGAGCGGGACGGAGCACGTGAAGGGGAAGGAGGGAGACTCCTAGTTTTGGTTACTTCAACCGTTTCTTTCGGGGAACCAGGGACGGATAGGGACCTGATTTTGTCCAAGCCCCTCTCCGACCTACTACGCCCGGAGTCCTTTTGCGATGTTGTCTCCACCTCCTCTTCCTCTTCCTCCTCCTCTTTAGAGATTCTGTCGATGTGGAGGCATTTTGTCTACCTCTATTTCAACCTCAGTTGGCTGTTGTTGCTGTTGTTGTTGTTGCACCTCCTTTTCTGTTTTTTTTTTTTTTTTTGCTTTCATTCTTTGCCCGCTGCTGTGGTGGTGGTGGTTGTTGTTTCTCTGTAGTCTCACTCTTTTATTGGGGGGGGGGAAGGCACGTTTCCCCCCTCCTACAACTTCCCACTTCCTTCCAGGCACCATCGGGGTCTTTCTCCGCTACCCCCACTACCAATGTTGCTGTGACTAGCGCTGCTGCTGCTGCTGTAGCTGTGGGCCGAGTTGCAGGCTGAAGATGTTTAGCGGGGCCTCCTTAGCCATGTGCCTCGAGACACCGCACGACCAACAGTTCGGTCTCCGGCCCTCGACTACGTCAAACATTCTTCTTTCTCTACACAACAAATTTGCCCAAAATTTGTTCGAGTCAATGTGATCTACAGCTCAACATCTCCAGCTGCGATGTCTAACTTCTCTAATAGAGCCTTCACTTCCTCCACCTTGTCGAATCTCGAGAAGAAGGCCCCCATCCGGTCTTCAGAGATATCCACGGGCAAGACCTCTTCCGTTGTTTCCCTGCTGATCCCAATTAATTTACGGCTTTTTACGTCGGAAGTCAGCAGGGATATTATTCTCGTATTCACGGCCTCCAACGCCTCTGGAAGAGTGAGGAATTCATTTTCGTTGAAAGAATCCCCAAACTTCTTTCTTTGTTCAACATAATAATCTGCATCTTTTTTCTTTGGCCTACTCTCAGAGCAAGGAGATTTTTGTTGAAGACACCGGCGGTGTTGTATTCAAATTGTTGTTCTCACTCATGGTGGCCCAAACGACAACCACGGTCAAATAATTAACCGGTTGTTTCTTTTTCCTTTTTTTTTTTAATTATTTAAAAACGAAAAACAATGTCAAGAAAAAAAACGAAAGAAGATCGTGGACAACCAAAGGCAATAAACAATTCAAACAAATAAATACGAAAAATGTAATGCAAACTAAAACCGTGGGAGAGGGTAAAAATACAAGAAGGGAAATAAACAAAAAAGAAAAGAAGAAAATGTACAAATATATACGAAAAAAATAAAAGGAAAAGAAAAACTGAAAAATTCAAAAGTTTCAAAAAATAAAAAAAACAAAAACGTATCAGTTCGTCAAGTAAAAAAAAAACATAAGCTGGTTCGCCACACGCAAAAACTATTAAGAAAAAAGGCAATAAGGCTTAGATGGCAGATTGCCCCCACTTACAAAAGCGTCCAACGTATTTATGAGGATTAGAACATATCCATTATTGTTCATACGTAGGGTATATAACAGAAAGAAATCAAGAAAGAAAGAAAGAAATAAAGTGTTATAATCTAGAGTGGGTTACTGAATGAGTAATAATCAAAATTGAGGTTAGAAATAAACTGGTAATTTTTATAACATCAGCAAAATACAATACTCGCCAGCAGCGTCAAGTAGGTAAACCCCTGCTTGTGGTGGACTACTTAGCATAATACTCCTACTTACATCTTCAGGATGTGACTTGTTATGGTTCACCATGCCTTTTCATGGTGCGACTATGTAACAAATCATTAAAATGGTGGTTGGTTTTCGATTTTTCTCTCATTTTTCTTACATTTTTTTCGTTCATTGTCCAATCCATTCAACTTCTTTCTTTCTTTCTTTCTTTCTTTCTTTCTTTTGTCGTCTTCATTTCTTCGTTTGTAGATTTTTCACTTAAACTTGATTCTTTACCGTTTCTATTTCTTCGTAACTTTTTCCTTTCTTTCATTTTTTTTTTTGTTTTCTTCATTTTCTAGATTTTTCCTAATTTCTTTAATTATGCTTTCATTCGTTATTCTTTCTTTCTTTCTTTCTTTCTTTCTTTCTTTTATTATTCTTTTTTGCCTTTTTCGCCTATTACATTTCTTAGCTTATTATAACGTCTTCAATTATTCTTCCTTTTTGATTTAGCCTTTTTTCTTCATTTTCTTGTTTTTTCATAATTTCTTTCTTTCTTTCTTCTCTCTTCCTTTATGCTTTCCCCTTTACATTCATTATTTTACATTTTCTGCTTGATTCTTATCTTTTTTTTCGATTTTTATTTTCTTTAATTTTCTTCTTTTTTTATTTTGTCCAATCTTCATGCGCTTTTTCCCTAACTCTTAATTGTATTTCTTTCCCTAGATTGTCTCTTCATTTTTCCTTCTTGTTTGCTTGTATCCCGCGTGCGTGTGTCCAAAATTTGTGACCCGAGCCTTGAGGTTTCGGAGGGTACAAGCATAAAGTCTATATATCTTTGTTTTCATGACATGTGAAATGTTTGGATGGATTCACCAACGGATTGGCAGTGTATTTTTAGTATGAAATCATGACACACTGATCAAGGATATGGAACGAGGTTATTTCCCATCGGAGTAAACCTGACAGCAATTCCAGACAATATGTCGTTTGGTAATGATTGCTCCACAATGGCTGACGGGATATCTCGGTGATATGATGTCAAATACTTGACCCCGGTTCAGCAAGGTTAGGGTTCCAATGCAATGCTATAGCTCACCCTGTCATTATTAACAAACTGGAATTTATGTTTTCATTAAAGAAAAAATTGACTTCAATATGAGTGAATAAAATTTTAAAAGAATGCAATAACTAGTAAGCGAACATGAATCATCGTTTCCATCGTCTTTATCTCGTATCCAAGAATTTAATTTCTTCTTTTCTGATCGCTTCTTTATGATGATGGCAGTGGTGACTAAATAGACCAATTCTTGCATGGAAGAGCCGATGGCATTGACTGCATAATAATGTTCGTGGAGGACGAGGTCGATTTAGTCGAGAGTTTCTCTCTTGTCGTTTGAATTTGTCCTTTTCTCTTCTGGTGGCTTCAAGGATTTTGGTTCCAATGCTGATAGAATATCGCAGGTTGTTATTTTCTTGGGCTTCAAACGATTGAGGCTCAGGCAGTAAGTGAACATGAATCATCGTCTCCATCGTCTTTATCTCGTATCCAAGAAACGTTTAATGATTAACCTGAAAAAACCTAGCAATTTCTCTATTTGACTTGCCACACTAATGCCATCCTATTATTTGTCATCGTTGAAATTAACTAATTTCCTTACTTCCACGAACTTTCATTGCAAAATAGAAGTCAGCTATTGTTAACTTGATACTAACACGGTATTGTCTGAACAAAAATTAGAACGCCATTTTAAAAAATAAGAAGCCATATATATATATATATATATATATATATATATATATATTATTCTAGTGATGAACTTTATAAAACAATGAAATTGTCAGCGAAGCTGTAAAAAACTGTAAACGGGGAAAGGAAGATATTTAACATTTTCTTGAAAGAAAGAAAATCCTCAAACGAAGCAAGTTGGCATGTCGACTTGGTTTAATGATTAAAACAAGTTTGTCTCGCTAGATCAATTTACGACTTAATAATATATTCGATCCTCATTTGGGTGCTACCTACTTTTGACCTTGTACCAAAACGAAGATAAGCTTACAGTATTCTACATTTTTTAGAAGCATATTGCAATATTCCAGAACCTATCCTTACATTCGAGTTGCTGTCAGATGTAAGGTACATATCAAGTACTTTCGACAATTTCAAATTGTCATCTTCAGGGCGCAATTTTCCCATAGATAGGCAAACACTAAGATGAAATATGGGTACGCCGATAGATGTTTTCTTTAAATTATGCTATTTATTGACAGTTGAATATATGTTTTGAAGCGTACGATGATCCATCTGACAACAACTCAAATATAAGGATTGTATTATTCAAGGAATTGATAGTAAGCTAATGTCTCATTAAGTTTTGTTAGTGAAGTGATTTCGCCATTAATGACATTAATATTGCTATTTAATTTATAAATTGTTTCTTTATGATATAAAATATGCAGATGACACAGTGTTGATAGCAAGCACAGAAAGGAAACTGAAGAAGAAACTGCAGAATGTAGTGAAGGAAAGTAAGAAAAAAAAGTACTAAATATCAATTGCAGGAAGACAAAATGCATGGTTGTTAGCAAAAGAGACACTTGAACAATTAAATTACAAATTGAGGATACCGAAATCAAACAATCGAACGGTTTAAATACTTGGGAAAGTTTTAAAAGAGGATGGGAAGTGCGAGGATAAAATCCGAAGGTGTATCGGGATAGCGAAATTTGCCTTCTAGAAGTTAAGCAAAGTATTAAGAGACAGGAAAAATATCGTTAGAATCAAAGAAAAGACTACTGATCTATAATATCATCTCTCTTATATTGCAGTACATACTGAACAATCGTCTCATAGACGAAGAAGAAGCTTGTATTCAAAAAAATATAGTTCTACAGAAGGATGCTGAGAATACCATAGACCGAACATGGAAATAACGACGGACACTAGAGATAATGGCAACAAAAATGACACTTATTCTTAACATCAAGAAAAGGAAGTTGAAATTTCTGGGGCCCATAATGAGGAAAGAGGGCTTGGAAAATGTGATACTCACAAGACAGACTGGAGGCAAAGGGGACCGAGAAAAGTAACGCATAACCTACCCAGATATAACAGACAACTTTTTCCTGCTAATAACAGGAAGTTGTGGAGAACTATAGTCGCCTAAGCCCTGAAGAGACATGGCAACATAGAAGAAGAAGAAGAAGAAGAAGAAGAAGAAGAAGGGATTCCTGGCATTCACATGTCTATTTGTTTGCACCTACGTTCTCATATCAATATATGTTTTATCATACGTTTATACTGATTTATCATTTAGAATTTACAGATTTATTTATTATTTAACATCTCACCCAGTTTATCTATCTATCTATCTATCTATCTATCTATCTATCTATCTCTGAATCCTAAGAATGAAGACAAAATAGCGTGTAATCCAAGTACATTTCAATGCACTTAATTCAGTGATGAATATATCGAAATTAAAGGGTAAAGTTACATATGCTCAGTTAAAGCAAATCAAGCAAAATTTACTGCCCACTCATCTATCTATCTATCTATCTATCTATCTATCTAAGTTCAATTCTATTGGTGAATGGATGCTTTATATGTAAATCTATCTTTCGCCATTTGTTCTTATCTATCTCCGTTAATCTGTTTTAGTATATCTATCTATCTATCTATCTATGTGAATTACGATATATGAATACATACTCTATATGTTTATATTTCTGAAAGGAGGTGTTATGATTACTTATATTATTTACATTCTTCGGACTATTATCCTCATCTTCATTGCCATATTCACAACATTTCGGTCGTTGTACGCTGCGCTCATCTTCAGATGATTGGAATTTCGAACCGAACTTTTTATTTCGTCCATCGCTCTAGATGTTCTAGATCCACGTGCCATGCCTCTTCCGGATGTGTCAGCTATTTCTCTTTTAACTCAACTCTCCATGCTTGTTCACCACTGCTGTGGTCTAGTATTGAACTCACAACTCTTTAGGTCTAGTCACTGGATCTAACCAACGTCTTTATCCACTGATCCATAGGTGCGCAAGGTACAACGGCCGAAAAATTGTGAATATGGCAATGAAGATGAGGATAACAGTCAGAACAATGTAAAAATACATACTCGTTTGTCTCAGATAAATACCACCTTTACTTGAACACAGGTCTATGAAGGCGTAAAATTCTTTATATGACATCAAGAATCCATATATAAGATTCCAGAATGAAGAAAGTACATTTCAGAGTAGATATGCCACAGTTTTGACAAGGCGAAACCCACCAAGTGTTTTAATCAAATACATCTCACCCACCCACCATCCACAACTGAAGATCAGTTACCCACAGTACTGATTCCTTGGTATTTTTTTTATATTTATATATTTCTTTCTTTTAACGTCTTTTTAACTTCTATATTTCACGTCCTTATCTAGGTAACCTTTTATTGAAGCCGCCAATGTTCGCCTTGCCGAAACGTTGGGGATTTCCTAAATTTGCGCCCAACAATCGAAAATTGTTCTCCAGAAACATACAGAGAGAGGGTGGGGCATATAATCTAAAAGTTGCGACACTTTTCATGGAGTCAGATATTCAACGTTGTATTCTTTTAGTATATCACTGACTACAAACACACACACACACACACACACACACACACACACACACACACACACACACACACACACACATACATATACATATGGTTCTGTTCTTAATATTTCGTTCTCTCACGTGGTACGACATATATATATATATATATATATATATATATATATATATATATATATATATATTTATAAACTAAAATAAATTTAGCAAATATTCTTAAATACCAATAATTTATAACTGAAGCCATTGGTTCATACCAATGGCTTCCCATACTTAATACTTCTCGTTTTCACTCTCGCGTGGTCATGTGTGATGTCACGTGATGCGAAGCGATTTTCGCTTCCGCGTCTCGTATACACGAGTTTGTCGTTGCTTTGAAATTTTTCATGCAACACAGACTATAAGTATTGTTTCGTCCGTGTATTGTTTTATATATTGAAATGTAATTGTGATCTTTGATAATGGCTTATGTAAGCCGAAAGCTTAGATCGATTTAAACATGTATCAATATGGTGATTTCCTTTCGTCTTTCAATGATAATGTTATTAAGCTTATCAGACAATATAAAAGGAACTTACTTAAAATAAATAGACAAAACTTGCCTATATTATTTAATGAAACATGCATCAATATATATATATATATATATATATATATATATATATATATATATATATATTACTTTTCTTACTAAATTTTATGTATCTATGTATTTATCTATCTTATATTTAAGCGTAACATTTCTTTTTTTACGAAAGTGGTTGTAATTTTCTTAGAGGAAAGATTGTAGAGTTGTAATGTTTATTTTGTTTATCTTTGACTATTGGCTCATTATAGCCGATTTCTTTATCTATTATTCTTTATATTTAAAGATTATTTTAATAACATTTGGTATGAATTTTAATTTTTTTACATTTTATTATTATTTATTAATTGTAAAGTAACGTACTTTCAATTTTGTTGGAAAGATGTTCCAGTTATATCGTTGTTTCGTTCACTACTAGTCAATTAGTTTTATTATTCAACTTTCAAATATTTTAAAAACAACAACAACAACAGTAATAATACTAATACTACTACTACTACTAATAAAATATTCTCATATATTTTATAATAATTTTATACTTCAGTATATACAGCAATATATTATCACATTTGATGAACGAACTGTTTACTCCAACATCCAATGAAAAATATATGTATATTTTATGCATGTAGGGGGCAGTGTGTAGAAGTAGTATCTTTGTTGCTCGGCTTCTACAACTTATTATTAAGGTGGACGGGCAAAACTGGTCTTCACCCATCCCCTAAATCTCCACGCGCCACATCCTGTAAATCGCTTCAGTAGGCGGGCTAAATCACGTGAAAGATAGTGTTTTGCATTGCACTACTAGGCGGATGATCTGCACAAGCGGACAATGGCTGGACAATGGATTCAATGACCAACCGAAAAGACTGTCGACCAAGGACTTGGAGAGGAGATGGACGCCGCCAAGTTATCTACAAACCCACAGAAAGGATTATATATATGTTTATGTGTACATACATATATGGATAGATAGGGATATTTAGTCTGGTTTATGTCAACCCGTCTAAGAGAAGGAAACTCAGACAATAAGACTGGGATAGATGGGACGCTTCAGTCATGTTTATGTCAACCCATCTAAGAGAAGGAAACTCAGATGACAACCCTACAACTGAAATGATTACTAGTCATCTCGCCAGGTCATAATTGTGGAGAAGTTCGTTTACCTTGCAGTACAATAACAAGATATCTCACTAGATGCCAAAATATATACACCGCATCGAGAAGGCCTCCGTGGCCCTCGGAAATCTTGAAAGGAGAATATGAGCAGCTCAAGACATACCAAGGTATGTGTGTATAGAGCTTGCGTTCTGACAATTCTATACGCCTCCGAAACTTGGACACTACTCAGCAAAGATATAAAATTACTTGAATGTTCCCAGCAGAAAGGCCTAAGACACATATTTAATGTCAAATGGGAAAGCAGACTCCTGATACTGATGTCCTAGTCAGAACCAATTGCCAAAGCATAGAGACTCTTGTAACATCTTCTCAAATGCAATGGACAGAACACATAATTCTTGATTACATTGCATCTAGACATATGGTTCTGTTGTTAGTATTTCGGTCTCTCACGTGGTACGACGTCATAGAACCGCATCACGAATTTACGACGTGGCCCTGCTATTCCGTGACCGTTATCGTTGCATGGCAATCTTCTATGTCACCTTAACAGATTATCATATTTGATGGTGAATATCTTTGTTTAAATGTCTATATAACCACTCCGAATATAGCTCATGTGTGCTGAAAGCTTAGATCAAGGAACAGCTTACTAAAGAATATCCAAATGTTTCATAATTTTTGGCTTTATTTTCTCCCGAAATTAAAGCAACTATACAAAGTCTAGAACGGCTCATGATCAAACATAATATATATTCGTTGTCTGCTATATTTAACTATATATATATATATATATATATATATATATATATATATATAGAGAGAGAGAGAGAGAGAGAGAGAGAGAGAGAGAGAAATAGATAGGGTGCGATCGGTAAATTATCGTCTAAATTACGGAAAAATGAAAATAACACTGAAATCTCAATTTAAGAAATATATTTACCAAAATTTCACAAAAATATGTTGAAATATGAAAGACTAAATTTATTCAATAAAATCGCCATTGGCTTCAATCACGCCGTCCAAATGACTTCAGAATTTTCTGCAACTCTTCTGGAGGGTTTCCTTGTTTAAGTTGGCAAATGCTGCCATAATCCTTGCGTTCAGTTCATCTTTGTTGTTAAAAGTCGTTTTGTTGGTCTCTTGCTCAACTGTACACCACCCATAATAATGAAGAGGGAGTTAGGTGGCCAGATGTAAGGAGTGATGTCGTCGCAGTTGTTGTCTGGCAGCTATGACTGGGTTCTTCTGCTTATATGACATGGTAGAGAGTCTTGTTGCCAGACTTGGGGCCTTCCAGTCTCTTGACCCAGGACAGCACTACCTTCTCAAGGCATTTGATATAAGCGTCCGTGTTGAGTCTGAGGCCATGTGGGAAGATGAATGGAGGCATAACGATAACTAGTGATCAGTCCAAACGCCATGATGTTGACTGGATATATCATACAACTCTTGCACTGTCCTAAGATTGAGACCCTGTCCGGATTGGAGCTTCCAGCGCGAATGCCAAGTTGTACAGTATACTGTTTTCAAATTTATGTCGGAGTGAATCGCGCTATGATATTTTTTTCTCACAGACGCTGCCCAACTGAACCTACTATACTTAGTATCTCCAATAATTCGCTAAAAATCAGTATAATGATAAAAGGTCCGAAACTTAATAAAAACAAAGTTTCATCATTAAAATGTTTATGTTATTATTAAGAGGAAAGAACAAAGTAGTTTTTAAATATTTAAAAAAAATGTTTCCTTCTTTCTAACACGTTCTAAATTTGGGTAAAAAATCTTGTTTTTTTTTGTTAACTTTGTAAGACTTGTGTTCATCCCCATTTTTTAGTGTAGCAGTTTCAGGGGAACTCATTAATTTAGAAATTCTTGCAAAAATTAAATAATTGTCTAATTTAAATGAAACTTTCAGGACTTATTCAAAAAATGAATGAATTTATTTTTGAAATCTCTATTTTTAGAAAATCTTGGTAAAAATATTTTTCTTTACATACGTTACCCCCCCCCCACCATAAATTAATTTTATGAAATTTTCTAGAACTTTCAAGAGTACGCAAATTGTTTTATATGACTTATAAGCAGGACTCCTTAGAGAAATTAAATCATTATTTCTTTTTCACAAATACTGACAACTTTTTAAAAATTATCTCCAAATCGTAAAATAAAAACTGAAATAAACTATCTAATTATCAAATTAGATAGGCTTTTATAAATAATATACATTAAGGACATTATTATCTGAAGAAATTTTTTTTTCCGGTAAAAAAAGAATTTTTACAAGAATTGTTTGCATTTTCCTTTTAATTTTTTTGTTCGTCAAAATGTTATTTTTTTTTTTAGTATGATTTTTCATAAGTG